CGATAGGCGGCCCCCGGGGCTCCCCGGTGAGAGGGCGCGCTGCCGCAGGAGGAGCCATCCGGACCACGGGGCGGTGGAGCGCGGCCGGTCGTGAGCAGGGCGGCACGAGCAACGTCTGGCGTTCGCTGTGTCTCCGAGCGGCGGAGTACCGCTGCGCCTGGTATGGCGGCTTTCGGTTGGATCAGTTAACTGTCGCACCCGTGGCTTGAGTAGTAACTGGAACTGACTGAAAAATCGCGGGAGGAGAAAGTTGCAGCAAGCTGCAGCTGCAGAGCTACCTACCCAAGGGGCTCCGAAGAGTTACACACGGTGAAATCTTCGCATCGAAAGGAAAGTTTTTTGCCTTAGCCTGTTTTAAAAAATGGAAGCGATTATACCGTTTTATTTTTGTGAAACGCTGTGGTATCTACTGACTGATAAAATCTGTTTATTATAAAAATAAGAAAAAGAACCAACCGAATAATCTTGCACCTGTGATGCTAGGGTCTTCCCACACTTTTTCTGCACACTTTTCTGCAAAGTCTTCAGTTTTCACTGGAATTGTTACACATTTCTGTTGGCAAGGTGCTGATGAACTAGAATGTTTGACCCATGTCCACACAAAAAAAGTTAATAAAAATCCTCTGTCAGCAGCAGAAAAACAAATTCTTCGGTATCTTGTCTTGAACCAACAGAAGTGCAAATGTCATATCCCGTCTGTGAGCATCTAAATGCTAATTTTCTATTATTTAGACAGTGGGAGCGGAGTGCATTAAATACTAGGCTTTTTATTATGGAAACATTAAATGCAAAACATGCATTAGCACAGTTATCACTCACAGAAACTTACGCATCAAGAAATGCAAGTATTAAAGCCACAGTAGTAGTATTAACTCAGCTAAATCACGCTATACATTTATAAACATTCCTGTATATTACACAATGTTAAATTTTACAGTGTAAGCAGAATTACGAAGGGCTGTATTTATGTATACATGTAAAGAAATACTAGAGGTGAGAAGAATAGCTGCTGGAAAGAAATCTACAGTGAATAGTTTTAATAGTATTAATGCATATTTCTTACGTGGACAGGGCCAAATTAATGCTGCTGCTGCTGCAAGCAAAAGAGCCTTTTAGGTTTTCTGGCTCCTTTTTTTCCTAATATTGTACAGCCTTCAGCCAATGTGAAACATGGCTGGCTTCTAAGCATAATGATAATGCACATTAAGAATTTAATAATGCCGTAACATCATGACGCTACATCTCACAAATTATTTTTCCAGTACACGTACAGTAAGTCAAATCCACTAGTAAAAAATGCACACGTACACACTAATGCATCCCAGATGTGACCACCTCACCAAGTATTTACAGCCTGTCAGTGCTGTGCGACTCAAGTAAATGTATTTCATCCATAGAAGTCTTGATTACAGATGTAACATAGTATTTTGTTCATCTTTCCCTCCTTTATTATTTCAAGATGTTTCATGGCACTTGCCTTACACCATATGAACTGGAGCAGCAAGTGGGTGAATGTCTTTTATTTGTTTTGTTACTCCCATTAAAAGCATAAACGGATATGGTCCTTCTAAACAATTATAAGCATTCTTTGATTTAAAAGTTTGTCAGAATTCGGGGGACAGATGGACCCCTTAGTATCCAGAAAAGGAGTAGTTTTGCAGTTTGATCAACCTTTTATATGTTTTTTGACGTTGTAACTGAAAGTAGGAAGGTACTACCATTTTTTCTTTTTTTTTTCTTTTTTTTTTACCATAGTAAGCCTTCTGGTTTGTGAAATCCAAAATTTCTGATTAATAAATTTCAGTAACTTGTTTTCTGATTAAAAAAAAAAAATTGCTAGCTTATTAGTGTTATGCAAAATCTCAAAATTAAAGCTCACAACTCATTTGTAATTCATGATGCTTTAAAAATGTAATAGTGTATTTAACGGTAATAGTATAAGATAAGAGATTCACTCTGATTTTTCTGCTGAGGAAGTCAAGTGTAGATACACTGAAAAAAAAGTACTGTGGAGTCAAAGAATTAGTGATACATGTATCAAAGGTTTTGTTCTTTTTGTATTTAACACAGTTCAAACAGTGGAATATGTTTGACATTCTGCTTTCAGACAGCTATCAAATGTCTGTTTGAATTCTCAGAGAGATTAAGCAGAAACATATTTACCCATAATTAATTTCTCCTGAGAGCACCAGTGCCATCTTTAGCCTAATTTCATTTACTGGTCTTCGTAAAATATATTGTTAGACTGTAAATTTTGTCGACTACTTTTATTCGGTTTAAATAGTATCAGCTGTGATTTTATGCCTGACTTTTCCTAATATGTGGTCTTATATGATATATGTTTTCCTTTTTAGCTGGAAGGGTAGCGTAGAAGTTTATATGCTGAGGTCTAAGCCACCCTTTCATTACAAAGGAAGAAAAGAGACTGTTTAAAAGTTACTTAGCTAATATTCAAAGGGCTACACAACTTTTCTATCTAGGTGAAAGAGCTGGTTAAAGTTGAATGATTTAGCTACCCTTATACATAGGTCTTGCTTATGTCGCAACATTCAGTAATTATCCCAGCATTGACTAGTGCAATTCGCAGGTTAGCTCACACTATATTTGAAGATCAGTGGGGGCACGCCTGCTGCTGGCATTACTTGACAGCGACAGTCGCCTAGACAGAGAGAAAGGCTTCGGACTATCGCAGTTTCTACTTTGTTTAGATTCTGAGCTCACCTCCCCTGTAGAGTCAGGAGTATTTGGTCGGCTAGAATTTTTTACGTCAGCATTGTAAGGAGGTTGGGCTTTGTTTGCACTGAAACCGCTTTGTCTTCTGTTGCTGTTCTTTGGAAGAGAATTTATTGAAGCTCCTGCACTTTCAACCATTGCCGAGCAGTTCCAAGACGAACCGATTCCATACTGTCTTCTGAAACCGGTAATAGGAAAAGTTGTATCGGGTTGCAGTGAAGTTTGAGATGGCATTTCAGCCAAGCTTCTCAAGCACATGCTCGAAGCTATATCTGCATTCTGAGTACCAACAACGAAATGTTTCTTTTCAGCTTCTTTTTGAGCATCATGCACTTCAGTCCCAAGCTCGCCAAGCAAGGCTTCATTATTATCTGTGCTAGTATTTTGAGTCTGATTGTCTAAAGCGTTTGTAGCTGGCCTCTTCTTTGGCGATTTATTTTCCTGATTGCGATGGGTGTAATTGCTGCTGCTTTCTGTACGGTTATTTTGCACAGACTGAAACATGGGAGGAGAATTTAGAACCGGGTAGACAGCAGCATCAGTTTGCTTTTCCATTAAAAAGGTATAACCGCTAAGTGCAGAAGGAATAGTTTTTTGAGGGGTGGTGGATATTCCCAAAGAAGAGTGTGGTATCACAGAGTATTTCTTAGATTTGTTTATGTAGAAATTGTCAGGGTCATCCTTGTTTTTATTCTGCCCACAGAGTCCCATTTTAATTTTTCGGAATCCTAGGTGGATAATTTCTAGGATATTTAAAAGCAACGATACAGTCGCTATTGATTGCATGAATAATATGAACACTGTCTTTTCTGTTGGTCTAGATACAAAGCAGTCAACTGTGTTTGGACATGGATCTCTCTGACATTTATAAAGGGGATCTAGATGAAAGCCATAAAGAAGATACTGCCCAATCATAAAACCGACTTCCACTGCAGATCTTGTGAAAATATGTATCACGTAAGTGCAGAGCAAAGAGCCTCTCAGAGGTGCTTTGTTTAGCTTTCTTTGATCCAATTGCCGGAGTTCTCTCTCCAGCCTTTTCCGATTTTCGGTCATTTCTAATTCAGTGCTTTCGAGTTCCACTCTTATCTGAGCTTTCTTTTTTTGCCTCTCTTTTTCCAAGGCTCTTAGTCTGTATAAGGCATGACCCATATACACCAAGGAAGGCGAAGACACAAATATAACTTGCAAGACCCAGTATCTTATGAGAGAGATGGGAAAGGCCTCATCATAACACACATTTCTGCAACCAGGTTGCTCGGTATTGCATATAAATTCTGATTGTTCATCATTCCAAACATCCTCAGTTGCTACTCCGAGGACAAGCATTCGAAATATGAAGAGGATCGTTAGCCAAATCTTTCCAATAATAGTGGAATGAATGTGGACCTCCTCTAAAATGCCTCCAAGGAAATTCCAGTCTCCCATGGTTACTCTGCCATCTTAACACTAAAATGTATGAGAGAAAAAAGTGTCAAACATTGTAAAAGCTGCAGTCCTTCCTTAACGCATTACCAAAAAAACGACACTGGGAAAAACCATGGTATGTTACATTGTAACCATGGCAACACGACCCACTGCTCATTGATAATCGAGGTATTATTCTCTCTCATCTACAAGACAGAGAAGTGCATCATCCGCCCGTGTCTAATTTATCAGTAAAAGACATCCTGATAAGCACATCACTATGAGGTATTAAGCACCATCAGTCTGCATCAAATCAGTGGAAACTAAGGTGCCTGACCTGTAGTAGGATTTTAAGAGCATTATGTGGTCTGTTTGAACCATCATCCGATAGCAGCGTGAGAGCAGTATGTTTATATTTAGGACACTTATGAAGGTAGAGGAATATTTCCCAGTCCTCCTTTTTGGATGTTCTGAGCCCCAGGTCACAGCTGAAGTTACAGGAATGTCCAATTACTGTTTTGCACTGAAAATTGGTTATACAAAGGAACTCGAGAGGGAATAAAACATCTCACTAAAATTGCATTGTTAAATTAAAAAATATGTTTAAGCATATAATTTGGCACAGACAAGTGCTTTTTGTTTGCGGATGTCAACGATAAACAAATAAGTAGAATCACCGTAATCGGTCCAGTTTCCTCTGATCAATGATACCTGCATTTGAAATACAGAATAGACTGCATAAGTGTCAAGCGTTGCTTTGGCCCCGATTCTGTGAAAAATAAATGATTTATGCAAAAATTCTCTACCAGCATTTTCCTAAATGATTATCATCTGAGTACAGATAAACTGGTAATATATGTGTGTAATCACACATCTCACCTTTCTTTTGTATGTTTGCTTCTTTCTCCGTTACAGGATACTACATTGTGGACAAGATTTAAAATTCCTTTTCAGTGTTTATGTTATTGTATACACTACCAAAATTATTTCATGTGCAGGGATAACCGGTACGTCTGTAGATTTACCTCTTCATTGTATGTACAGTACAATTCAACAAAATTCAGTTATACTACAACCAGATTAATCTGAGGGGAGTTTAGGAAAAAGGTGGTTTAACACAGTGTTTTCTGTTCAAATGGGATTCATTTTCACCCTGTAAAACAGGATTGTTAAGAAATCAAATGGAAGTTGCAGTCTTACGGCCGCAATACCGATGACTGCAGAGGAACCTTTATGTTAAGGCAGCCTACTAAACATGAAAATACTTTTGCAAATCGGTATACAAATAGGCAAGTTAGACATTTTTTAAAGATAAACAAATTAAAAATAAATGGAAAATTAAAAATAAAACATACCTTTCTTTACAAAAATGTGTAAAACTAAAGATCTGCGGCGTCCGATAAAAAGTTACAACCCCTGCCATCTTCCGTCCATGTGAGTAAATTTCATACTATTTCGCTACAGGAGCAAGTGATGGAGCACAAGCTTTGCACATTGAATTTATATTTGCTAGGGATGGAGGGAGGAGAAAATCAATCTGTTGTTCAGACTGCTACCGCTCCAAGCATAATTTAACTACAACTGGCGAAAGAATCTCATTAAAAAAAAGCTAGAAATGGGAAATCTGCAGCTCTAACTTCCTTCAGATTATCTTCCCTTTCACCTCTCCAGCACCTTCCAAGTTTTATGAACGATCTCGGCCTCAGACAAACAGAATAAAGGAAAACTTTCAGACTAAGTTTTAGTTTACGTATCTCAGTCGCAGCAAAGTCTCGGCTTGCCTATGCAAAAGTGAAGACGGTAAATCCTCCCAAATACTACCATTGTAAATTTCTGCAGACAGTCTGTTCTCCTGGAATGGCTTAGCACCACACTCCCGATGTAAAAACCCAATGGTAGTACTTTTGGCCCCTCCAAACTCACTCCCTCTTCACAGACAGCATCTGTCCTTATAGTCTACGATTCTGCACCTCTCGTTTATTCTCCTTATGCCATCTCACTTGTCATACTCACTTCTTTAAAACACCCCTGAACATGGCAACTGTTTTATGCCATTTTCCCCATCCACATAATTCAGTATTTCTTTTTAGGAGCAAGTCGTTATCATGCCATTCTAAGTGTTGGACATACTAAAGATGTCAGTCATTCTTCTTGACAGTGACACTTAATGTATAGCCTGTAAAAACAGACCAGGTGACACAAGTCCCCTTTTTATCCCAGGCCTTCAGCTACCCCTCCGCATTACCTTAGCAGGAAGAATACCGAGAAAAGGCTGAAATATTTTCCAGTATAAAAGCGTGCACAAACTGCCTAGTCTCAAAGAACAGGGATTTTCTAGTTGCTTAGGAACGCAAGGGCCACATATATATTAATTGATATAATTGTTCACGGGTTACAACCTACTGTTGTTAACTTTTTCTTTTAAATTCCTCCCTTTCCTATTCCTTTCTTTACGTCAGACGGATTGTTGCAGCAGAGTCACCCTGTGACTTGGGTGAATAAATGGGTTTGTTCTACTGAAGAACGTGCTTACTTACGGTAAAAGATTCGGTAAAGCTATACACTATACATCCTCCCCATGTCAGCCTGCGGCAGAATTGGAAACAGAACCCACGGTTGCACCTGTACTCCACAAAGTTACCATTCTCTGTGTCTCTTTAGAAGAGGATAAAGATGGAGCTACTGGAGCAGAATGAATACTCCCTATCCAAAATTATTACCCTTCACTGAGTTTAAAAAAGAAAAAGTTAATATGGAGGAGGAGAAAGTGGAAGAATGGCGGTGGAAGTTCTACAGGCTAAAGGTACATAGAATCATAGAATGGTTTGGGTCACAAGGGACCTTAAAATATCGCCTAGTCCAAAGCCCCTGCTGTGGGCAGGGACATCTTCCGCTAGATTGGGTTGCTCAAAGCCCCATCCAACCTGAGTTTGAACACTTCCAATGATGGGGCATTCACAACTTCTCCGGCAACAGTTTCTCACCACCCTCATCATAAATAATTTCTTCCTTTGCTTACGTAAAGATTCTAAGAGTAAATGCTACCTTTAAAAAATCCGCCTGGCACTCGGGGATAGATCGCAGCTTGTAAACTGAGCTGACGCATGAAAATTATTTAAGAGAGCTTAAAATCTACTCAAATTTTTTCTGAGCTGATCGGACTGCTACAGTGCATTTTGGGGACCGATGGTAGGCTGGGGAACACCCTTTCAAACACTCTAAACTTCAGGAAGTGCCTGCAAAAAAATGTTGGGGAGAGGGGAGGGAAAAGAGACTTCATTTTAGAAAAGGAAAGACGGGGAAAGACATATGCTTGTTTTGTGTACAAAGATTGTCCTGGAGCCAGCATTAGCAGCAGAATGGCCAAGGATACGGCCTTATTAGGCATGCCTGGTATTAATGTGTAATCCACTGCTAGGATCAATATGAGTTAAGAAGTATATCTAGCACTATAATGCTCTTTTAGATGATTCTCCTCAGCACCCTGTAAAAGTGTATTGCTGATCCAAGTGTCCTGTATAGGATAAATAAACTTCCTCTGCTGAGAACTCTAAAAAGCTAATCATTATCTTTTAATTTTGGTGCTGAGGATCAGTCAATAGGTCACGTCCGATTTCATAGTTAAATGACAGCTTGCCTGGAAGTATTTGACCATTTTGGCAAGCTGTCAGCCTACAGCCAGCCATTTCTATTAAGTACTTCAAGCAGGTTTCTAAACATACGTCTCTTCTATCAAGTACTTAAAGTCGGTTTCGAAACATTTTTCTGCTATTGGTGAAAAAAATTCTAAGTCTGTTGAAGTGGTCCACATCCCCACCCCCCCCACCTCCTGCAAAGATGCTGAAGCTTTGTTTGAAAATCCTAAGTGTTCGGTGAGACTGAACTGCAGTGGCTAGGGATCTACTTGTTCTGTAAAAGATCAATGTAAGACGAACATTTAATGATTTGCATATAATGTTCCGTGATACATTATCTCATTTAAAATGGTATTTCAGTCCAACGACAACTTGACAAGTCAGGAGGGAAAATGAATTTGAGCGCCAATGACAATTTTATAGCGCTGATGCTGCTCTTGACCTTAGTCCAGACATTTTGCAGATGTGACTATTTACACAAACTGTCATACCAACATGCAGTGTTTAGTAACAAAATACTTAGTGATGTAAGGAGAGAATACTCATTTTTCTTCCAGGTCTAGAAGCTTTTCATCGGTGGTGGGTTTGCTGCAAAACATCCCTCAAACTTTAACGACTATATTATGTTTTATTAGCTCAGGGTCAAACGCCACAGAAATCATTCAATCATGGAAATATTCTCTGAAGATCAAGACCTTTTCATTCCTACTCATCAATAATGTGCACTTTATGTGTACAATTGATTTTTATTTTCTACTGTATTTCTCTGACCCACAATGGCCAGCTAGATAACTAGAGGCACAAACATCAGCAATGTGTCCTACAGGCTTTCAGGGTAACATGGTAACATGGACTCACTCCCATAGTTTTCTTTCAGCAGTGAAGTTATGTTCACAAATGATAAACTGCAATAATGAGAAATTTGGACAACCATACTACTCAATATTGTCTTTAGGAGCGCCAAATCCAGTGTTACTGTGTTTGAAGGCAGACCAGAAAATACCATATAAAGACCAAGGCACACGCTCTTCACGTTCGTCTGTTTTCTGTGCTGGCTTATAGATTCACTTTTGATTGCTAAGATATACATGCAAATCAGTAGGCGCAGATTTGTGTTTTTGCTTTCCTGAGCAAAATTTCTGAAGATGGCCTGGCATTTATCCAAAAGTTTTAAGGTGGTTTTTTGGTCACTAATTAGATAGCATGCCACATTTCCACTTGGGACTTCCCTTTTCCACGCGCAAGTTCTTCACTATGTTGAAAAGAGCCTCTTGTAAAGTAAGCAGGATGCTTGTACTCCCCAAATGCTCCATTCCAAGATGTTTACAGAACACTCAAAAACAAGTTTCTTGCTAATTAGGAACGGATTGTGTAGAAATTTTGTGCATCTGAGGCGACAACATTTAAATTGCATCCTTACAACCGAGAAACGTCCCATCGGACGAGCCTCAGCACCTTTAAAGAAAAGGTAATCGCTTTTCCTTGAAGAGAATGTGAGCGATATGCCAGTTGGTTAGGTAGCTTCGACTGCACATGTTCATCATGTGGGTAATAGGCTAAAAATCATAAAAAACTATTTCCTCGGCTGAAATGTTTTACCCCTGTTCTGGGCACTCTGTGAGAAATTTTCCGGTTAGTCTTTAGGGTGAGATTTACTGACCTGAGGAAACAGGTTTTGACACCCTGTTAGCAACCACAGGAGGGGAGTTCCTGTTTGTCACAAATGCTTTTCTCTCTCTTCAGCAGGTACCGGTTTCCTTAAGAAGAAGCTGGTTGGTTGTTACAAGTGTCACCGGCTCTGGATGTTTGCCCGTGCAGCTCTGAGGACTAAAAATATCAAGTTATTGTCCCTAATGCAGATGAACTGGTTCTTGTGGGGTTGCAGGTAGATTGGGTGGAAGTGCATTTTAGTTAAATAATTGGGATTGATTCACGCCTATGGCCATGTTAGTACAATGGCTAAAACCAAGCTTATAAAAAGCAACTGTAATGTGTTCCTGGTGTCTGTCTGCATGTTCCGCTGAGATTCCTAGCGAGGGGCAAAACGTTTTGAGCTGCAAGCAAAAATTCCATAGCTTCTCTTTATCAGTTTCCTGCTTATATGCACATGGGTGTTTATTGTTTAAAATGGAGGGTTTGGAGTTTTTAATTTACTTTTTTTTGTTCAGGGATTGCTGTTGAGGGTTTCTCACTGAATCGCTCACAGTTCATTACTTTATTTTGTGGGGCTCGGTATTTATCAATCAGCGTTTCCAGTTCAGTCATTTACCAATCACGGCGCAGGATTTAAAATCTAACCTTATCCAAATTTTTAAATCCCCAGTAATCATTTGGGTTCCAAGATTTGGAGTTTATCACTTCTGGGTTCAGAGTTTATAGCTTAAGGATTTTGACCTTTCTATTGAACAGGTAACAATAAGCTGTAAGCCCTGAGCCCCAAACAGTAGGCTGCGAACCCTTCTTTGTGGATCATAACTGTAATGTACCAGGGCTAGTGTTTGTTATGATCCAGTAAGAAAGGCACTTAGATTCCATATTGGTTAAATTTCCATTTATTGACGCTAATGCTAGAAGGAAAAAGAGGATACTGTAGATATTCATACATCCCTTCAGATGCTGGGAACCCCAACTTGTGCAGAATTGGAGGGACTTCTTATCAGGGCACAGGCGTTTCTCCCCCCCGCATCGTGTCATGTGTCACACCACACTCCCCAGTATTTCTCCTTACAAATAGGCCGTTCGTAGGCCCCATTGTAACCCAGAACACCTAAAGAG